TACCTAGCCATCTAAGTCCTGAGTGTCCATTCACTGGTGCTTTTTCTGTTGATGCAGATTCAACAACCATTAAAATGAAAGGCACGAAGTGGGATGCTGTTTGCATGTCCAGGGTGGATAGGTGAGCAGGCAGCAATAGTAAGGAGATGCAATAGCAGCAGCAGTAGCAGAGCCAGAAGTTCCAGAGGAGGACACTCGGTACCCACTGTAGCATGACCCTCTCAAGTGCCCAGTGATGCCTACTCCTTAGTCTTCCTCCATGATTTGAAGAAACGGTTAAACATCCCAGTTACTTGCAACGTGTACAGCAGTCATGCTCCAGATGTTTCATCTTCACTGATTTGTATCTTAACTCTGTGTGTGTGTGTGTGTGTGTGTGTGTGTGTGTGTGTGTGTGTGTGTGAAGTAACTACTCAGTTTTAATATAGGAGGCTTATGCTACAACAGTTCTGTTGTCTTCTTCAAGCTTTGCAGTACACCTCATACTTCAGCTTTTTCCCCAGGTTCGTCCCACCTAAGCGTTCTTCAAATGTCAGGTCCATTTTCTCATTGTGGTCTTCATTAAAAAGGTTCTTCCAGTCACTAACACCACCTGAAGAGAGTATATGGATTACTACCCACAATGTTCTTATGCAATATGTTTTACCAAATGTACGTATGCTGCTGCTGTGCCAGATTTGCCTTGCTCTGAGTATCCTTCCTCCCCCACCCACAGTTAATTTCCAATTTGTTGCTACCATTGGTCTGTCAAGCAAAATCTGAGAATGGTAGCAAACTCTTTAAAGAACAAGTGAAGGGAAAGAAATTGCACGGACAATCTGAAATGGAAATGAGTGAGAGGACAGACCAGACATGGGGCTGAACTAAAACTGCTCAGAAAATGTTACAGTGGTGCCATCAAGTCAACTCATTGATTAGAGCCATGGATTCATTATTACTGGTGTCACTAAAGTTTGCAATTCCCTGGTTCAGAAAACAATTCCTAATATCTTGGTAGTTCCTGATGTTTGCATTCAATGTGAAAGGAGCAGGATCACCTGATAAATTGTGATAGCTGCTGTATTGACAGCATGGTGAAATTCTCCTCTACGCCTCCTACTCTCTTTCAGTCCTTTCTTTTCCTCATTGTCTCTAATGCTACAGTAAGAACTTTGAGACATCTAACTTTCTTGAGTACATCAGACAGTCTGCAAAGAGAAATATTTTCCACAGTTCCTGATGCCTGCGGCAAGGATAGAGCCTGAAGTGGCAAGCAGAAGCTCTGCAAAGAGTTTTCCACAGTTCCTGATGCCTGCGGCAAGGATAGAGCCTGAAGTGGCAAGCAGAAGCTGCATGTGACCAAAGAGAAACTGTGATGTTACTCATTCTAATCCTTATGGAATGGGAATTGGGCCGTGTTCCCTCCCAAGAATTGTGTACACATGCAGGAGTCCTCACTCACAACAGTTGTGAAATGCTGCCTAGAAGTACTGATCCTGACCCATATCAAGGCTGTAATAATTCATTCATGAATGTTTGTTATATGCATAGGAGCCCCCACTGAGGTCGTTTATCCATTATTCTGGTATAATTCAATATGTTGGAGTGCCTGTGTCAAGGAGTTAGAATCTCCATTGTATCCCCCTCCAAAAAACAAGAGACAACTGACCCAGCACATAGGTGCGGTTACATGTTCTGTCATCTATACAGCAACACAATCCCAGAGTACCACTGAAAGGAGAGACTACTGGGGAATTCTTTTGAGTACTTTTTACCTAGAAAACCCTGACAGGGTCACTGTAAGTTGGATTCAGCTCTTCTGAGTACTTTTTACCTAGAAAATCCTGACAGGGTCACTGTAAGTTGGATTCAATTTGACAACACATAATTCTTAATTATGAGCGACTCACATGCGGAGGACAAAATACAGACAACTGCTTGAGATCTTCTTGAGTAGAGAGACATGCCTACATTTTTGTAAATCAAAATGGATTCCTAAACATGTGTTCTTTATCTGGAATCCTGTTGGGCACTTCCAAGTGTGAAACAGGGAAGATGTCATCATGAGTGCCGATTGCCACTGATTAAAAGCAAATCACTGCTGATTAGTCATCATGAGTGTTAATTGCCACTGATTAAAGGCAAATCACTGCTGATTAAAGGCAATTCTGGTGCACATGACTCATACACAATGCAACAGAGACACATGCTCTCTGAAATCACAAAAAAGGCCTTTGAGCAGGAGCAGTTTGCTATTAATGATGATCCCATAACTGTTTCACACATGGAGCTGTGCTGCAACAGGATTCAAGCCATTTTCAGCTTTGTAAACTATAAAACTCCAGAACAGTTTTGTAGTTATATTTATGGATCCAGTTTGCAGTTATACGCAATCCAATCTGTCAAGAACACATATTTAGGGATAGGAGAATGCTTGTGGAAATTGTTCTAAGTTTGCAGTACCCAGAATATAATGGCAGCAATGTCTGAAATTTGATAGAATTTGAAGATCTTTGAAAATATACCTTTGCGAAAAAGAACATTGCCAAGTGCACCATGTGTTTTTGCAGAGTTTTCTTTCATAGCCTGGAAGCTGCTTCTGTCTACCACTCCTTGAATCTCTTCATCATTTAGATGCAACTCCAAGAATTCACTGATCCGTTTCACTCCCAGTGTCCTATCCTGAAAGGTACAAGTAAAATATAAATATTAATTGATTTGTGGTAAGTTTTTTCTTAAATATCACGGATGCAAGATACATACATATGACCAGCATCACTCTTGAAAAATGCTGCTGGTAGGAGCTACAATTTCCAGATATTAACTGAATCATATAATGATGAATCAGTTTAAAAGGACTTCTTATAAACATCAGACAGCATGTCATACTTGCTCTATGTCACCTAGATATCTGGAAAGGAGAAAGCATGCAGGGAGATGCTTCATATGACATTGCAAGTGTTTGGGTTTCTGTGAGTACTAGAACTGGGCAGACGATCAGGGAACATGTTCCTGGACATTATGATCTCCGTACTTCAGGGATCCATAGAAAAAAGTGCAGGACACTCTCCACACAACATTATGCTCACCTCCTTCAATTCTTCATAAGTGATTGTCATGATATTTTTGTCATCGGCATGCTTGTTCCATTCAAAAACATAGTCAAAATAAGAGCCCCAGGGCACTATAAATAAACAAAAGAATATAAGGCAGCTATTAAAAGGAGAAGACTTGAGGTATTGGATATACAATACTTCTACATTACATGTACAATAATGTGTGCTAGGTAGAAGTATATGTACTTCTTGAAAACTTAGTTATTCATGGCCAAACGATACATCTCATGGCCAAACGATAACCTGTACTTAAAACAAGGAATTCCTTAAGTGCTGAAAACATCTAATTGCCACAGCCGGAGCTTTCCATATTACCCAAAACATGCTAATTACATGGGTTTGTTTATGAAAGATCATCATGAGATAAGGACAGGCTTTGTTGGTGTGTTTGCTGAGTCATAGAGGTCTGCCAGAATTGCAACTTCAGCATCTGATGGTGAGCTATCTATAAAGATAGAATCATAGAAAAAATTGAATTGGATGGGGCTTGTGAGGCCATTGAGTCCAACCCCTGCTCTGTGCAGGAAACCAAATCAAGGCAGATCCGATAGATGGCTGTCCAATTTTCTCTTGAATGCCTTTAGAACTGGAGAACTCACCGACTCCCAAGGTAAGTGGTTCCATTGTTATACTGCTCTAACCGTTAACATATAGTTTGATTCTTAATCCCCGTTTCCTACTGTCACACACCTTTCTCTTTTAATTACGCCTTCAAAGGAATATAATGTAAACTGCAGTGAAAAACAAGGAGGTGGCTGGCTGCCAACAGGATTAATACCAAAATGGTTTCACTGAGAAACAAAGCAACCCTGGGGGAACACCATGATTTTTAAAAACTACAAAAGAAAAAAAAATGAAAGACCCCAATGGTGGCTATTCTCTCCATCAGTGAAACCTCAGGCTAATGAGGACTAAATATGGTTAGTTATCTTCAAGAGTCACAGAATGTTGAGGGCCATAAGAACATAAGAAGAGCCCTGCTGGATCAGGCCAAGGGCCCGTCTAGTCCAGCTTCATGTATCTCACAGTGGGCCCCACCAGATGCCTCTGGGAACACACAAGACAACTAGATACCTGTCTCCTGATACCCCTGCCCTGCATCTGGCATTTGAAGGTACCTTCCTTCTAAGCCTGAAGATTATACATCCCCATCATGGCATGTAACCTGCATGGCTTGTCAACTGGAAATGAAATACAGATAATTGAAAGAAGGTGGAATGGAGTGGCCTCCTGAATCTTCTTACAAGTTACAGCAGTTTAGGGGAAGACATGGCTGTCTATCTGGATAGGAGGTTGGACTCCTGAATTGGAACAGTCATAGTAGAAGGCAAGGATACACTGTAACACTTTGTTGTAAGTTTCTCTATTCAATATCAGTAGTGGACACCTTCCAAATGTCCATGGGCTATTTGGGACTGTACTTCTGTTTTGTTGTTGTTGTTTGTTTTACTTTTAATAGTCCTTGAAGCTAAAACAATTCTGGGTAAGGGGAAAATAGTATAAAAAGAGCAAATTGCAGGCTCCCCATAGATTGTGGATGACTCATGTGCCATTGGATGGGCACAAATAGGTTCTTGTTGTTGAGTGGTCCACGAGTCCAAACTGGGGATTTAGGGGCACTGACACCGCATGGGGCCCACAGATTGCAATTTGTCCACTCCTGCTCTGTATCGTATCAGCAACAGAGATATGATTTGTTTGGCAAAAGCAGGCTGGTCAAATCATCACACTGGTTCAAATCATCTCAGTAGTCTCCATGACTTTATAAGTCATGGATACCAGGACGTTTTGTGCCCAGGTGTTTTCATAACAAGTTCAGGGTATTTAGACCAGAAGGAAACTTACTTTCTCCATTCATAAAAGCTGTGAAGAATTTATCCCAGCTGTTGTAGGAGGGAAGAGGAGTCAACCCATTGGTAAAATGGTAAAAAGATGTAGCCACATCTTTTGGATTTCTAATGAGCAGCAGGATCTATAGGTAAAGAGCATATTTATAATGATTATAAAGCTGCTTTTGACAAAACTCCATTAAAATAACCTTATACGTATAGTGTCAGAGAATAGGTATAGGAATAACCATCAGACATCCTAAATTTTCTGAGGTGTCACCCAATTCAAGGGGAAGGACAGGTAGCTGCTTTTAGACAAGCTTCTCCCTGATCACTCTCTTCCAGCCTTGTTGGTCTTCTTTGCTTGTACTTGGCAGAGGTAGCAATAGCAGCTTCTCCTGCCACTGCTAGAAGAAAACACTGAGGTCATGTAGCCAAGTCTGCAAACCTACAGCATATTAGATTTAACTATTTGCCTTTTCTAAATTTCACTAGCAGCAAGCTGAACGTATGAAACATTGGCCTTTTTGCCCAATGCAGCCAATGAGGTAATTTGGAATGTGGAAAGTAGTTATGCTGATGGCTAAAGAATCTACCCTTGTTTGAAATGTAAATGAAACAAAACAAAATGCATCTACTTATTTTATTTGGTCAGTGAACTACTTGAAGGGTTAGTAAAATATACTCAAAGACTCAAGAATTCACGTACCTTGGCTTTGCTCTTAAAAACAGACACAGGGAGATTTTGTGGAAGAAGATGTGTAAATATAACTCTTCTTGAAGGTAGATTTGCCATCCTCTTTAATAAATTGGGTGGTGGGGGCAGGAAGGGCACAGACAAAAGAAATGATGTAATAAAACTTTAGACATTTACATTTTTAAAAAAGTATATTTTTACTCCCCCTTTCTCCTTAAAAGGACTTGAGGCAACTTACATCATTTAAAAGATGCAAGTCCTATTGAATTCAGTGGGACCTATCCCCTGATAAGTGTATTTAGGATCGTACTTCAAAAGTTTTTAATGTAGATTTTCAAGAATATCTCATTTATTTGGGCCTTTACTGGGAAGGAGGGAGCGGAGGGCACAAAGTTGCATCCCAAACTGTTCATTGTTCCCAGGTTTATAGATATTCACTTGAACACACCTTAGGCTCCCCATTCAGATGAGCCAGTACATGTCGGGGCCCTGGAAGGAGAGCTCACACGATGTTGACTTCCATATTTAAGCCCATATGAGTTGTACCACATACATAGAAAAAGATGCTACCTTAAGGAAAGGACTTAATCAAATACCTCTCAATGTCCCCCTTCACCAAGCAGCATCAGAAACCTTTTCACCTTGAGTATGAAATGAAGGTCTACAGAGCACTTTACAAGGGCATTCAGCTAAACATGGGTAGGGAGCTCTCATGATTGGCAACCCTGATATGAGAAGGCAGCCTTACAAGTTACAGGAGCTCACTAACCGCACTCAGCAAACACATTTAGAAAGCCCGCTGCAGATTTTTGTACTCAGTGTGCAGTGATCTAGGATACTTCCAAGTGTGTAGGAACATATGGTGACAGGATGTATATACAGGCCCAAAAGCCTCACCACACATTGTATCACTCACATAAGCAGACAAATGCCTGTATAGAGCTTATTCCATTTTGATAGAAGGGCTTTGTAGAGACCGTGGGCCTTTAAGACAGAGCATTTGTTCTCCTTAAAGTAATGTGTTCTACACTGATTTTTAGCAATATTTTCCTCACCATCCATATGATTTATGTTTAGTATTGCTTTCTAGCAGGAGCAGAGTTTAGCACTATTACATTTCCCACTTGCAGCTGATGTCTGTGGTCAGAGCTTCCTCATTAGAAGCTTTAATAAGCACTTCGTACAAAACAAAACAAGACAAGCCAGTTCAAGCAGAGAAGCCCCAGTAAAGAAGTGGATTCTTTAAAATGTCATAAAGAAAGGTGGCATCCGTAAAGAACTGCATTTTAAAGAGAGGTTTGGACAAAAATCCCATTCTGTGCTCCATGAACTTAAAGTGCTAGAAGCAGGAGGGAAAATGGTCCATTCAAAAGACACATGTTCCTACTTGCAAAATTTGATTTACAGCTCAGGAGACCAAGATAACTTTAGTTCAATTTTAGTTCATTTTTACATATGGAACATTACTGACCACACAGGCAGACTGTGGATCAAATATTCACTGGGACAGTTCAATAATCCTTTTCACAATGTTAATCATACTAAGTAGTATACATCCACCTGATATTTCTCAGCATCACCAACTTCAAGATATGGAAACTCTTCCAGTTCCTCATCGTCCAGGTTTTTTGACTCTTCACTTTTCTTTGCAGCCGTCATTACTAGATCAGTCAAGATCTGACCAACCCAGTTTGTCCCTGAGAAAATGATGGGGAGAAGAGATTGAAAATAAGAGAGAGGATGACTAACTCTTGTCAAACTGCTACAGTGATCTGTCTGAAAACAGATTGCTAAGGCATAGGGGAATGCTCAGTAAATAATCAAAAAATCACATACTACACAGGTTGCCCATATAAAATTACCTCTGACACAGAAGAAAAGAATTAACAGTTTTGAGTACTGATGACTGACACTACAAAATCCCAAAGTATGGGATTTAATTCACAGTGTTATCACATCCCTTTACATACTTTGCAGTGCTTGGGATCCAGATATTTGCTTACTGGGCTGTGTGAGAGTGATGTTATCTGCAAAACATTTGCAAACACGTCTCGCTGGCTGATCAAAAGAAAGGTTCTGTTGACTGGTAATGTATAGATGCAGTGGCAGTGGCTGAGGAGTCAATATTCTTCACCAACATCATTATCACAAAGTGGGCCTTAATATAGCCTCAAGACTGTATTTTGTCAAGTAATTGGATTTCTGTCCATGTAACACATTGGCTTTTCCTCCCTTCTCTCCCCATGCCTCTCACAGTGCTTTGGAGGGTTATCCAAACCTCTGGAGCAGTTTTGGAGTATGCCTCGTAGAAGAGGAAGAGGGAGAGAGATGACAGTTTGCAGTAGTGTTCATGTTGCATGCGGACAGACTCAATTGCAGACAATGGTATGTTCCCTACCCACCTTTCCAATTCTCCCCAAGCATTGCTTAAAATTATTTTGAACATGGCATGTATCCATAGTAAGCAAAAGGCATTTACCAGACTTGGGGTATCCTGCTAGAAAGACATCATCATCCCTTGCTTCGAAGGACTCAAGCGCTTTGAAGACTTCTGGGCTGCAAACAGTAGCCGGGTACAAAATCCCCTTGTAAGAAAACATTAGCTCTTCTTGTGCCATTTGCACACTGTCAGCCATTGCCTTGTCTATCAGGGCAATAAACTTCTTCCGTTGTGTTGACATATTTCCGTCCTGTTCAGCTTGACTTTGCCCTTAAAAACACTGCCAGGATGCAAAAGGGTAGTGTCTGCCTTTTAATAGGGCTTATAAGTGTGCAGAAAGTCAGGTGAAGAATGATGTCTCTGTATAGGATTCCATACAAAATGTTCCCAATCAAAGTGATTTTAAATCAGCCCATTATCTTCATTTAGTATCAGATCAACCTTTATAATGGGAAAAACAAAGGATGTGATACCATCCACATCTGAAAGGCCTATCTAATTTCAAAATGTCATGCTCCCTCCCCACCCCACAAAAAAGTGCAATTGAATTACAAAGTTGTTGGTTCACTTGCATAATAGATAACACAAAAGGAACACAGATACCCATGATGAAGTACACCTGTTTATAAAAGCTGGATTTCTTCTTATGTAAGAAAATCATTGCTGAAGGAAGAGGTAAAAACCTCAGACAGTAAATTTATCCCACTCCCTCCAGCCTGTTCACCCCAGATGGCTTGCACCATATCCTTAAATATCCTCAGCCAGCATAGCTCAGAGGTAATGACAGAGGAAAGTTTTATACACAATAAGAGGAGCAGAGCAAGCAGCTCTAATGGGGCTGAATAATAATCTTCATAAAATGTATGAAGGAAGGTAAAGGTAAAGGTTCCCCTTGACAATTTGTCCAGTCATGTCCTACTCGAGGGGGCAGTACTCATCTCCATTTCCAACCCATAGAGCTGGCGTTTGTTGTCTGAAGACAATCTTCCATGGTCACGTGGCCAACATGACTAGACAGGGAGTGCCGTTACCTTCCCACCATGATGGTACCTATTTATCTACTCGCATTTTGCATTTTGCAAGCTTTCGAACAGCTAGGAACTGGGACAAGCAACGGGGGCTCACAGTCACGTGGATTCGATCTTACAACAGCTGGTCTTCTGACCTTGCAGCACAGAGGCTTCTGTGGTTTAACCCACAGCGTCACCACATCCCTCAAAGTATGAAGGAAAGCAGGCCCGAAAATCACGCAATCTCTCCAATGTTTATATACGAATTTCAGGAGTGTGGAAAACAAACAAGAAATTGAAATCTTTGTTCAGGAAAATAAATACAAATTGATAGGGATAACTGAAACTTGGTGGGTTGGCTCCCATGGAACTCCCATGGCCTGAATATGGAAAAGGATATAAAGAACAGAAAGACTGAAAGGAGCACAGAAATATAAGAGGATGAGTTTGCTAATCCCATTGAGAGCATCTGGATTAATATAATGGGGGCAATAAACAAACAAACAAACAAACATGGTAGTTGGAATCTACTACCAAGTGGAGAATCAAGGAGAAGGTCCAGATGAAAACTTTGAAAAATAAATGGCAAGAATTTCAGAGGGGCATGATGTAGTAATAATGGGAGACTTCAATTATCCTGATATCTGTTGTAAGGCAACTTCTGCTAAACATGGTCCTTCCAAGAAATTTCTGGTTTGTGTTGCTTATCTATACTGAAGTAAGGGAAAGACACCATATTTAGGTAAAAGATTCTAAGTTTACCCTTTCTGAAACAATGACCACTATCCTCTTCTACAGCTTCACAGACATGGAGTGAATGACATGACTGGCAGTCACAGATTGCATCTAATTCAATACATTTTTTAAAAAAGGGATGTGTATGACTCATAAATCAATGAAATGAAGTCATACACACCCTATTTCCTTTTAAGGGGTTCTCTAATTAGCAGCAGTTTTCCTTTCCCAGTGACATCATTCCCACTGTGAAAGTCCACAAAATAATACTGGCCAATATCTCCTTTCTCTAGCTAGAGCTACCTCAAGGCCTGCTACTAAATCCAGTTTACGTTCACTGTGAGCAACATGAATCAATGCTTTCTTTGAAGTTTTGCAATGTGCCATTTCTTTCAATTTCTGGCAGTTCTCATAGGCTTTTCAGCATATGTGGGATGTTCAATAAATGGTTGTTGTGGGTTTTTTGGGCTCTTTGGCCGTGTTCTGAAGGTTGTTCTTCCTAACAAGGAAGAAGGAAGAACAACCTTCAGAACATGGCCAAAGAGCCCGAAAAACCCACAAGAACCCGGCCGTGAAAGCCTTCACGAGTACATTGTTCAATAAATGGTTTACCATCACCAACCCCATCCAGTGAGTTTCCATGGCTGAGTAAGAATTCAAATTGAGATCTTTTTCTGAGTTCTAGTCCCATACTATATCCAATACCACACTGGCTTTTATTTGAACTATGAAAGCTTTATTTTCGTCCCTATGGTGCCCCTGCTCTCAGGGAAGTCTGAGGTTTGTATGAAATGACATTCTTCTCTTAGCTCTTTTGACCTTTTATTTGAACTAAGATTTTAAGGATTCTTTATCAGATGTTCTCAAATTCCATGTTATTTGTTTGGGGGAGGTCTGTTATAATTCTGACTATAGGAAACAAAAGAGAGAAATGTTTTGGCACATACACGCTTGGCCTTTTGAACATCTGAATAATATTTAAGCCTTGTTACATCACTATAGCATCTATTAATCCCTTGTTTAGCAGGTTTGAGATGAATGGTCATTGAGAAATGTAAAAGGACATTACCATTCTTTTTCAAAGTTACATAAGCTCTGTGGAACCACAAGATGAGGGTTCAAGGGTTAACAAAAGTCAAAAGCAACTTGGAGGAGTTGAGTTACAATTTACGGCTGATAGATTTATCCAGAAAATCAAAGTTTTGCTATAGGATCTGGTACCTCTAAGATGGCCCTTGATATGACCATATTGTGCAAATTGCCCTAAGCAGTTTACAATATATAAATAAATCATTAAAAGAATCTAAAATCAGTTCATCTTCCAGTGATACAATGCAGTTAGGTGCACTACCTAATGTCTCTTTAATAACATTTTGTGGCTTTTCCTCTACTGATATGTTCATTGTCACTGAATTCCAACAAGACAGTAGACTTCTGGCTTTAAGCCATCAAATTTGTAAATTAAGCCTGTGCTCATCTACCAACTATCAATAGCAAAATACAAATTTGCAAGCTACAGGCTATGTGAAAAGTTCCAGCTGTGACAACCAGGTCTTTCAATACTTAAGAAATTTCCTGTTGTAACAGTGGGTGGGTTATGTATAACCCTCCATGGCCAATTACGTGAGATGAGGGCACCCCTCCCCTATTATCAACGATGACGGCAATATATAGCGTCATAAGGTAGCTTTACCTTGTTTAAATCATGCTGCCTTGAATCTTTCATTTTAGAAATATGTGTGAAATGTGTATTCCTGAAGCCCATTTATAGGTACTTCCCCTCTCTGTATTGCTTAAATAATGTTTTCAGTGGTGAGTCAAAAGTCCAGATCTTGTGAATAATGGCAGATAAGTTACATAGGATATGTCTGCCATTGTTTGAAGTACAGAGTAGATCATAGACAAACCTTTGCCTATAGCTAGCACATGCATGAAATATATCCTTCCTGAATATCTAAGGCTGAATTGCAAGCTTTTCACATCAACAGTGTGATCAGAGGAGGGAATAGATCACATTGTGGACTGCCTGTGCCCAGAAAGCATGTGACATATGGGGAATTGTGCTCCAGCACAATCTCATGTGTGTCCAAGCTGGACCTTTTTGGTCCAGTTGTGGAGCTACTAATTTTTGGGTGCCAGGTTGGAACAATTCCTAAACAAATGGAAGGGTTGTTTTAAGGGAGATTTTCCTTGCAAAATGCCCTTTCTAGTGTGATGAGAGGTGTACCTTTCCCACTATCTAACCATACCCTATGTTTACCAAAAGGCAGAACTGCAAAAAGAATTTAAGAGAACAGATTTCATTTATCATTACAACAGTTCAAATCAAGTACCGTAGTAAGTCACAACTAAAGCATTCCCATTGAATCACTGGGGATTTGGTGAATCAACTCCTCCATAAGTTCCACGGATTCAATGGGACTACTCTGGTGGTGACTTACTACTGGATTTCAGCCACTATCATGTGGCAAGACATGTCTGGAATGAAAACACAGTCCACCTTTGCCCTACAGCTGCTGCAAACCTTGACATTTAGGCTAGTATGCTGAGACAGTGATTGAACGAATGTATTCCCAAGGTGTGAAAAATTCCAGAAGCAAAAGGATCTCCAGAGAAATCTATGTTATGAAGCCTTGCTAACCTGAAATTGCCAGAGAGATATATAAATGGCAAAAAAAGATTCCCCATAAACTTTGAACGTTGTGGTGGTATATGCACTTATTCATATACAGTAGTCCCTTATTAAAAGTGAGTTTTCATGGCCTGGTGGGGATTTGAAACCAGCCTTCCGGCATTCTAGTCAATCTCTCTATCTACTATGCCACTGTGGCTCTTATGCTAGACCACCTAAAAAGAGTAATGGCCAAGTATTTGCTTCCCAGGTTTTCCCTGAACAGACATATTTGTCTACAGATAGATAAAATTATTTGCTTTGGACATTGTCCATCCAAATCTGGAAAGCAATGATGGGAGGGTGAACAAGACTATCCTCATAGGCTCTTCTATTCACTACTTGTACCTTATGGGTGTATATAATTACACTGCATAAATAGGCAGAGGTGTGAAGCAATTGAATACAAAAGCTAGATTTAAACATTCAAGACATTTGACGTTTATTATATTATAGTGGCATTCATCATTTCCTGAGAACTGTGGGAATAATACAGAAGGAGTGTCGCCCTTTGTGACTATTATGTAACAGTACAGTTCTGTCCAGATGTAAGTCACCTAAAGTTCAGTGTGGCTCACTCAATGTGTAATGCTGCACAGCTATAATGTTCCATATAATCTCCAGTTTCTACTGGCACAAGCTAATGATCACCTTAGTGAAAGCAACTGGGCTTCCACTTGTACAAAAAAATAGTGAATACCCCCTGCACAAACAGCAAAGGAGTAATAACTATGCATGCAATGGGCTGTTGTGCCTTGGGCAAGCAAGCACAATTTTGGCCATTAACATTAAGGAAATGTGATATACAGAAAATCATAGAGACCCTTTTGATTAGCATGATTCCTCATGATGGAAATCTACAAATCATGTGGCAAGACATGACTGGAATGAAAACACAGTCCACCTTTGGCCTACAGCTGCTGCAAACCTTGACATTTAGGCTAGTATGCTGAGACAGTGATTGAACGAATGTATTCCCAAGGTGTGAAAAATTCCAGAAGCAAAAGGATCTCCAGAGAAATCTA